ATGTTCCAGTCACGGTCATATTGGATAATACCAAAAAGGTGAGAGCCTCAAGATAGACTTTGTATTTTTCAGCCTTTGATAAACAGTTTCTGAAAACCTTTGTCTGTGCAGCTGCTCCCGATGATACTAGAAGGCTTGTCTGCCTTGAGCGTTGACGCTGTGGATAAAGAAACTCTATTCAGTCTATTACTGGTTTTATCTGGAACGCTTACTGATATTAAAGGTAAGAAAAATTAGATGCTGGAATGTGAAAAAGGTATTGCATTATATGAAACCTCGTTGCTCTGTTTTGCAGGACAACAATCAGTTAGTGATAATGCACACAAAATCATCGAATGCCTGGTCAAGCTTACATCATACCGACATCTAATGGTAACAAATCATTTTCTCTGCAATAGCATCTTCTTTTTCTTCCAATAGGATTGATTCTTGGATATTCTAAGGAGATTTTTCCCATTCTGCAGGTTGTAAGGGAGACGGCGATTCAGTGTCTTGCTACCTTGTTGGAATTGCCCCATGGAAGAATTTATCCTTTCAGAAGAGAGGTTAGTTGAAAGATCTAAACACAAGTTTTAGTATGAGAGTTAAGAAAATGAGTTTCATGACTTTGAAATTATGCTTTAAGGTTTTGCAAGCGGTAACAAAGGCACTTGATGATCCAAAACGTAGAGTTAGAGAAGAGGCGATTAAGTGCAGGCAGGCTTGGTAAGTGGCACATTAAATCGATCCATTGTATATTTATGACTCGTATTAGCAATTATCTTGGCATATGATTCTGATAAATTGTCAAAAGCAGGACGTCAATCACATCCAGAAGTTGAATTCAGAGGTTCATGAAGCCAAGTAATGTTTCTTGAAACAATGCAGTATCTTTACTGTGTTCTTTTAGAGTTAGTTTTCTTACCGGCACCGGCATGTATGCCCCTCTTGAGTCTCGAGTCTTTTCTTTATGACAACATTTTATACCCCTATTTGTTATTATTTTATAAACAAAAGGACACAACTGGACAGTTCTTCATCTAATCTGATATATTGATTGAATGTCTGAGCATTCCGGAGACTCTCACTGAACAACACAAAGAACCACATGTTTGTTTAAACAAAACTCAATTCTCAATATAACCAAAATTCTTAAATCTAGAATATTGAATCTAAAATGCTTCTCAGCCACCTTTGCCAGTGCCACGATTATGTCCTGCTTGCTTACATTGTGAACATGTGTACATCTTACGCAACCTTTGTGTTGTTTGTTCACTGTTGACCTTCTCGGTTTTCATCTTTTTCAATTGTGGTTGTTTTCCCATTACTCTTTCGAGTGCAGAAAGATATCTCGACTTCTTTGGCCTACCTACTCCACGTTTTACATCTGGTGGGAGACATTTTTTCATTGGTAAATCTACATGAGGTTGCAACTCAACATCTACCGGATTAATGGACTCCATATACGCACTGGCCAAGTTATTTTTTGTGTAGTACAAATGTAATAGAGTTTGCAAATGTACATTTGGCCGCTTCCCAGCAGAAGCAAGAGCATGTTCACATGGTATCTTATCAATATCTTATTTACGACAAGTACAACTCCTCTGTTACAAGTACAAAACAAATTATGCAAATTACTATAAAATCAAAATAATTTTAGGTTAATAGCAGAAAGTAATATGAGATAAAAAAAAATGTACCTCGCGTATGTCCACTACACAATCAAGTACACCACCAGTTATATGGCTCCGATATGCATCTATGTGCTGGACAGTAAGAGTCTTGCCAATCTTGCATCTATATGCCAAAGTAAGTTCAACCCTCGGCGTGAATAATGTTTGTAGTGACATAGCATTTTCTCGTCGTTACATAAACCATCTTGAAATCACCTTACGCACTTCATCCAGAAAAAAAAAAACAATAGGATACTCGCGAGCGTCTTTGAGAACCTTATTGATAGACTCAGCAATATTACTAGTCATTATATCATACCTATCTCCTTGAAAAACGCACGAGACCACAAACGAACATCAGCCTTCTCCAAATATGTGGCAATATCAAGATTTTCTCTTCGTATCTCATCAAATAACGCAATGAACTCAGAAACCCTGTACACTTTTGCAGCCTTTTTAACCAAATTAAGTGTACTCGAGTCTTTGTACTTTTTAAGAAGATTCTGATGCAGATGATAGTTGCATATTCCTCGATGAGCTTGTGGGAATACCTTTCTAACAGACTTTCTAATGGATTTGTGTCTATCAGAAATTATTGCCAAGTTTTCTCGTTCCCCATAAACCAAACGCAGCTGAGTTAGGAACCATTCCCATGAATCATAATTTTCTGAATCGACAATTTCAAAAGCTATAGGAAAAATCCCACCATTTCCATCTTGTGAAGCAGCGACAAGCATAACTCCTTTGAATTTTCCATTCAGATGAGCTCCATCCACAACTATCACGTTTCTTATAAATTGGAAACCAGCGATACATGCACCAAATGCAATGAATAAGTACTTAAATCGGTCTTCCATGTCGCATTCAAGTTTTGTAATCGTACTAGGATTAGCCGCCTTGATCTTTTGCAAAAAGAAAGGCAAATCCTCATACCCACTCTCCCATGTGCCTCTTTCTAGCTCACGTGCATGTACTAAGGCTTTAAATGCCTTCCAGTAATCAATATCAATACCATACATAGCCTTCATGACATCCATAATGTGAATCGGTCTTATCCCAAGACCAATTTTCCCAAATTTTCTCAAATACAACTCTCCAATACATTCTGATGTAGCTTGTCGATGACGAGAACACCTATCTGTAACTGGAAATGTATGTATGTCAATGTACTTTCGCACTTTAAACTTAGAAGATGCTTTAATCACTGATGCACGAATCTTCCAAGAACAACCAGCAACAAAGCATTTCAATACAAACAGAGTTTTTGTGGACTTGTACGTTGTATCATCAAAATTCTGAAAAATTGTGATCATAAGCAACTTATTTTGTAACTCTGCCTTGGTACTAAATATTTGCCCCACACTGATACGCTCCAGAATCTGCAAAATATTTTGTGTACCTTCTAAGCCACCAACCATTTGATTTTCAATTTCTCCATCGAAAGATATATCTGAATCAGATCCAAAACTACCATCTGCAGAACCATAACTTTTTTCATCTTCAGAAATTTCTTCACAAGTACCACTTTGAATCTCATCTTCACCATTTACACATGGTGTACCACTTTGTGCCTCGTCTTCACCAGACCCATCAAGGGTACCACTTTTTTCTGTATCATCGCTACCTCCATCAAGAGTACCACTTTTTTCTTCATATTCACAAGTTACATCTAGATTGCTTCTTATTTCCTCAACTACTTACCTGCAAAATAAAGTTCTATGGAATTTCAGCTAGTTTACGAATAAGATGTAGACATAATATAAATTTGTCAGTCGATGTATAGTCTACCAAAATCATGTGGACATCAAGTAAGGCAACCAAGTATGTAGACTTTATGCAAGTCTACTAAAATTTTAAGGAAAAAATACAAGTCTACAAAATATACATGAAAAGTCTACTATACACGTGTGGACTTAATGTTAATCCACTAATTAGACAACATATAAATCAGGCAGGCAGTACTCTAGTATGTTGATCATCGGCAGAGAACGAGCTAATCTACAGATTATGAATATCATATCTATAGAAATAAGTAGTTATTATGCAAGTCTACCAAATGCATGTGTAAAGTCTGTTATACATGTGTAGACTTAATGTTAATCTATCTATTATGAGTAGGGAACAAACTAATCTACAAGTCTCGAATTTTATGTCTACAAAATCATGTAGACACAACGTAGACATTATGCAAGTCTACCAAATACACATGTAAATTCTGCTATACATGTGTAGACTTTATGTTAATCTACCTATTACGAGCAGACAACAAACTAATCTACATGTTTTGAATTTTATGTCTATAACATCATGTAGACACAACGTAGCCATTACACAAGTCTGGAAAATGCACATATAAAGTCTACACTTTAAACTAATCTACATATTATGAGTATACAGCAAACTAATCAATAGGTTTTGAATTTCATGTATGTAACATCGTGTAGACACAACATAGCTATTATACAAGTCTACCAAATGCACATATAAAGTCTACTATACATGTGTAGACCTTACACTAATTTATATATTATGAGAAGATAACAAACTAATCTACAGGTTTCGAATTTCATGTCTATAAAATCGTGTAGACACTATGCAAGTCCAACAAGTGGTTGCAGAAAAAATATGTCTAGCAGGTTGGATATTCAGTGGTTGTAGATAAAATATTAATCTACCGATGTTTAATCTACCATGAACATCTATTGGTTCAACGTTTCAGGTAAACCTATGAATGATACAATAAATTAGCAGTATTACAACAAAAACTATAATAGTGTTACCTAAGAATCCCCCTATACATTAAAAGAGAAGTCACTTTGACACGTGGCACTCATAGATGCCTTCTCAGATTTATTCTTCTAATCTGATTGGTTGATTTATTTTAATTTTCTTTTTTATTTATTTTTTGTTCGGCGTGCAAGTGTTAGGTATTATTTATGAGAATCGTATCTTTAAAATTTGGTTAGGTTATTTACTTTCCTTACATTATATTCGATAACTTGCGTGAGAAGTTGGAAATTAAATGCTAAATATGTCAATCTCATACCATTAGGAAAGCTTGACAATATATAAACGATGTCCTAATGTCTGTAGACCGAACGCAAGTTTAAAAACAGCTATGGCAATGGTTCAAGCTACCAAAAATCGAGTGTCTTTCATCATGAAATTGAGACCGTGTAAAGAAGGCATACAGTAATGGAGTATCTCCTAGACTTGAGTGGCTAATAAGTCTTAGTGGTTCTGTCTTTTTTTTTATGTTTTTTTTCCAATAATGCTAATTAGGTTAAGCGTCAGGGTATATTGGGTCTCCTTTTAGATTTTCACTTGCCATATTCTATGTTCTTGAGTATGGTTTTCAAGGGCGTCAGTCATAATTGCTTGTTTGTGTTCGTCGATGCTGCCGTGAGAATAGTTGAACTCCCGAAGATTGCAGCAACTGATTCTCTACTTTTAGATGGGTACAACAAGAATCAGAATCAAGAAGATTTGGAAACTGGAGGAGCTGAGAAGAGGAAACTGGAGCAGCTTTCATCAGATGGAGAAAAGAGTCGGAAGAAACCAAAAGTTGATGATCTCAGTCAGTCTGCTGGGACTGCTACTGAACTCTCACCAAGAGAAAAACAAGACGAACCTCTTACGGAAGCAAAAGAAAAAGGTAGGTTATTTCTTGTTTTTTTTTATTACTTATTTGGAATGTAGTGATTCTTGTTATCAGATGTTATTAACCTCTAAGTTCTGTGAGCTTTTTTTCTGTTATAAAGTCATAATGTTATTTCTGTTTCTTCTATGTAGAAATTGAGGTGGTGAAAAATCACTTGAAGATGTAATAAGAGATAATATTGAATCATCAGATAATCTCGTGAGCCACACGGAAAATCATTTGGACATCACTAACAGTGGCTTGACAACGAGACCTGATACCGAGAAGAAGAAAAAGAAGCGAAAGAAGAGATCAAAAGATGACATAAATCAATCCTCTGCTACTACATCATCAAGAGATGCCACCGTGAATGAGATAGATGGAGGAGTTCCTGCAAATGTTGATGCTTCTCCTCACTCTCTTCCAAGCTCTAATCTTGATCATTCTTCTTCTGCAGAAGCAAGGCAGAAAGGTGATTTCAGTTTGTTCAGTTCTCTCCTCTCGTGTGTTTTGTATCATCAACTCATGATGTTTGTTGGTGTTGTTGATTCTGCGTGTAGAAAATGACATGGTTGAGAATGTTGTTGAAGATGTGGGTAGAGATAAAACTGAGACTGACAATCTCATGGAAAGTCATTTGGACACTAGCAGTGGGTTAACAGCCAGACCAGATACAGAGAAAAATAAGAGCACATCTAAAGATGACGTCAATCAATCTCTAGCTGCGGCTGCTGCTCTTACAACCTCAAGAGATATCGTCAATGAAATTAATAGAGTTCCTGCAAATGTCGATTACGTTGATGATAGTTTTGAATCTCTTCTAGTACCTAGAGAAGAAAATCCTTTTGTAGAAGCAGCAAGTCAAAAAGGTAATTTCAGTTTGTTCTCTATATTCAGTTGTCAGATAGTTTGTATTATCAACTCATAATAATGTTGTTGTTGATTCTTTGTAGACATTGACATGTGTGAAGATTCAACTTCAAGAGATATTGTGAATGAGATTAATGAAGTTCCTGCAAATGCTGCTCTTGAATCTCTACCTATCGCAAGAGGCACTGACATGTGTGATATCAATCAATCTTCTGATGTCGCTATTTCAAATTCAAGAGATGTTGTGACTACTGAAATTCCTGATAATTCTGCTCCTGAATCTCTACCTATCGCAAGAGGCACTCCTCCTTTTGCCGAATCAAGTCAGAAAGGTAGTTTTGATCATTTATTAATTACTCATAACGTAATTTTGTTTTCAACTAATAATGTTTCTTGCAGAAAATGAGATATTTGTTGAAGATGTGGGAAGAAATAACATTGAACCAAACAGTGTGGGGTTGATGGCAACCAGGCCAGATAAGAGCTCAAAAGATGACATCAATCAGTCTTTTCCTGCCGCTACAGGTTCAAAAGGTCTTGTGACTGAGATAAATGGAGTTGCTGGAAACGAAGATCCTGTTGGTGGTGCTACTCTTATTTCTCTTTCCATCTCAACAAGAAGAGAAAATCTAGGCACTCCTTATGCATAAGCAACTCAGATAGGTAATTTCAATTTATTTATTTCTCCTCTAATACTAACAACTCTCTGGGTGTTTTAAGTCACCAACTCACAATTTTATTGCTGATTTTTGGTTTAGTTTTGATGTTCAATATCATTGTTAGTGTTTCTATTAACTTGTATATAGCTTATGTAGAAACTGAGACTGGTGAGAAGATTAATGATGACATTGTGGGAGGTGGAAAAGCTGCTGCTGTTGATAATATCCAGCCATTTGATGTTGAAATTGATGCTGATGAAGCTGAATCTGTGAAGCCTACTAAGAAGAGAAAGTCCAAAAACTCCAAGACCCCAGCTGAAGAACATATTCTGGTCGCTGCACACAATACTGAGCCTATCAAAGCTGCAGATGGAGAAGAGCCTGATAAGGTATTGGGTTCTTTCAAGGAAAAGAATGAAACAACAGAGGAAAATATGGAAGAAACTGGGAAGAAATCGAAGAAGAAACACTCTTTGAAAGTAAACAAGTCCCCAGAATTGTCAGTTGAGGTAAACAGTACTCCTTTGGAGGAGACTTGTCACATCAACAGCACAAATGATTCGTTTGTTACACCAGCTAAGAAAGATACTGAGACCGATGCTTCACTTTTGAAAAAGTGCTATGAGGAGAATGAGGGTGATATGGGAGATAATTTTGGTTGCAGCCAAAATCAAGAGAAGCCAGATCAAATGGGTGGTGGTGGTGGAGTTAAATCTTTAAAGGAGAAGAGTGGGCTTGATCTTCAGCCAAGCGCTTCCACTAATGTTTCCTTGAGCTCATTTAAAACGAAAGAGAGAAAAAGTGGCTAAGTTACACGATATTGAGCCGTAAGTATCTCCTAGACTTGAGTTTGTATGTGAGCTTTTTCTGGTTACTATCCTTGAAATTTAATTTAATTATTTTCTCTGTGAATCCAACAACAGGCCAAAGCTCGCTGCAGGTAACGTGAATCTTCAGACGAGACAATTTGGGCCAGCTTTAGAATCAACCTGATATTAACGAGAGGATGAGAGGGATCCTTGTTGATTGGTTAATTGAGGTAAGTACAGACATAAACTGTTTCTGGTTTTGTTTCTTAGAGATAGTTTAGTAACTAACCATTGTTGTTGTACAGGTGCATTACAAGTTTGAGCTGATGGAAGAGACCCTTTACCTCACAATCAACCTCATAGACAGGTTTCTTGTGGTTGCTAACCATGTCCCACGGAAAAAGCTTCAGCTTGTGGGTGTAACAGCTTTGTTGCTGGCTTGCAAATAATGACAAATCTCGGTTCCGGTTGTTGATGATCTTATCGTGATCTCTGACAAGGCGTACACTAGAAGAGAAGTTCTTGACATGGTAAAAATGATCATAACTATGGATGCTCTCTATAAGTTAAGATGATCATTGTGTTAATGATTTTTTTTTCTTGCAGGAGAAGTTAATGGCGAATACCTTGCAATTCAATTTCTGTCTGCCTACTCCGTATGTGTTCATGAGGAGGTTTCTGAAAGCTGCACAATCTGACAAAAAGGTTTGTATAATAACTTTCTTTGATCATATCGTTCTCACTTGGTTATATAGAATCAAATGTGAGTTTTGTGTGTTTTCAGGTGGAGCTTCTATCATTCTTCATCATAGAGCTTTGCTTAGTGGACTACGAGATGCTTCAGTACACTCCTTCTCAGTTAGCTGCTTCAGCGATCTACACTGCTCAGTCCACTCTTAAAGGCTTCGAGGAGTGGAGCAAGACCTGCGAGTTCTACTTAGGCTACAACGAAGAAAAGCTTCTGGAGTGTTCGAGGAAGATGGTTGGCTTGCATCACAAGGCTGGGACAGGGAAGCTAACATGTGTTTACAGGAAATACAACACATCCAAGTTTGGTTATGCTGCAAGAACTGAACCTGCTGGGTTTCTTCTAAAGTAAAAAAAGCCAACGGTTTAGGTCGCACTGAATCATCTATAATGACTAAGTGAAAGAGAGAGAGAGAGAGAGAGAGAGAGAGAGAGAGAGAGAGAGAGAGCAACATAAGTTGCAATATGCTTGAGTGACACTTTGTTTGGTGATTAGCATATATATGACAACGAGTTTCACTTACTGGTGATTAAGTCTTTACTCTTTATATAATAAAATTGATACGATAGCAAGTTTCACTGAAGCCTTCTTGACTGTGTAACAAAGAAGCTGGTTGTTTTCCGTATACATGTGTAGTTTTAAGGCCCTTTGCGACTTGAGTGATGGCCGGAGACATGAGTATCAGGTTTCAACAATTGATAAACCTAATTAATTAACATCTTCATATTTTCTTAGATGATTTTTTAAGAAAATTATTTGAGAGATTTTAGAATAGAATTGTAAAGCTTTTAAGAAGACCATCTAATTAAATATCAATATAATTTGTGTTTACATTTTTTCAAGATTCTAATTACAAAAACTTCCAGTGCACATATGCTAAGTGAATAGTATTGTTTCAATATTTTAAGTATCAATGGGAAGATGTGGAAGACTGAGATTTTATATATCATAAAATAAAGAAAATTTAAGAAATAAATCTTATTGATTTCTATAAAAGAAAACAAATCCATCCAGAGCAATCTTGGAACCATATTTGATACTACAATTCAAAGACATTTCTGTACATAGTTTTATTGATATCCGTGGACAAAAATAATTTAATGCTCTCAAATATGATGAATTGGAATAGACTTATTCTTGGGTTCACCCCTAGGGTGAACCCATCCAATAGGATTGCATTATTTCATATTTGATATCCTCTTAAAAAAGGAAAGAAAATCTTATTAAGTTATATTATGTTTTTAAAAATAAAAATAGAAAATAAATAAATAAATAAATAATGAATAAAAACGAAAATAATTCTTTTTAAAGAAAATATTTTAGCATTAAACCCTAAACTATAATCACAAACTCTAAATCCATGGTTAAATCATAAACCTTTAGATAAATCTTATAGTATTTTAAAATTTTAATATTTATGATTTTCCCAAGGGTTTAGGATTTAGAATTAAAGTTTAGGGTTTAGTGTTTATGATTTATCCAAGGGTTTAGGGTTTAGGATTAGAGTTTAGGGTTTAGTGTTTATGATTTACCCAGGGGTTTAGGGCTTAGGATTAGAGTTTAGGGTTTAGTGTTAAATTTTTTTTTTTTAATGTTGCCTAGACTAAATTTTGCTAGGAACTATTTTGTTTTTTGTTTTTTTTTAACGCTGATTTATCATGATATTTTATGAAAAATATTACATAGACGATTCGACAACCGACAATACTACTATCCTGCATAATTGTTTAATTAATCATTTTTCCAGAAATTTGAAACCTGGACCTCCTGTTATAGAAGCATTAATGAACTCTTATATGAGCTACTTAATACTCCAAAATAAATGGAGAAAGTTGAAGTCCATGCTGCATGTCAAAGTGGATGAATCTCAGTATTTGATTTGTGCATGTTTTCTTTAATTTTTATTTATTTTCCCAGTGTCCATGTTTTTAGTTTTATACTTATTAGCATCAAATAATAAAATTCAGAAATTATTTTATATCTATCACAGAATGTTATTCGGTCTTAGGGCTTACAAACTAAAATATTTTTTTGCAGGTGTCTAATAGATTTGCTACACCTTTATCGAGATTTTGTACTTCATAAATTTATATTATTTATGGATAATAATTTTAATTTTATTTTGGAAGCTTATTTTGAAATTTATTATATTTTCTTTTAATATGTGTACAGAAATAATTATGAAAATTAAACATAATACTATTATTCACCTAAAAATAAAAATTACAACATATATACAATACAATTCTAATTACAAAGGATAATATAAAATCTCTTACTTCTAAAACTGTACACTATTTATAAGAAGTCTTAGCAAATCCATTAGATGACGAATGAAAATATTTTCGTAAAACACACTAATTATTTTGAGACTTTACAATTATACATACACATAATAACTGTTCGCACCATATGCGTTATTTTATATCCTCTAATACAATGTCAAATATTGAGTACCGGCTTTTCTACATGGTGTAGGGTTTCTCCAAAACATGGTAGTATGATGATGTACAGTCCGATACTTCTAAACCGATACACTATTATAATAATTTTTGAACATACTTATGCCCGCACAGGGTGCGGACCGGTCACCTAATGATATAATAAATTCTAGAACTGGTATAGTAGTATTAATCTTACGTTGAAATATAAACTTCTGTTTTGATGAAAGAAACTGTTTTAAAAGAGTTTTAGGAAGATGAATGTGTAACAATGGTGATATTTTTTAAAAAAAGTTTCTTTCCCTTTTTGACAGATACGTTTTCCTTTTATGTAAAAGTAATCAATGTTGTTTTTAATGTTATATTTATCATTAATATTATTTCCATATTATTAATTTCGAATTTGAATAATTTAATTAAGAAAATCAATTATCCTTTTAATTTTATTTGGTAGAATCAAGAAAATAATTTATGTATTTAAGGGTAAAATAGTAAAAGTGTCTTCTGAAAATCTTACAAAAAACTGTATAAATTATTTTGGTTATTTTCTATATTTTAAGGTTATTGTAGCAAATCTACCAATCTTTTAATTTTTAAATAATTAAACTGGCTTTAGAAATATTAAAAGTCATGAAATGTGACGTTTAGAAAAACAAACAACTGTAAAAGGTGAAATCAGTTACAAATTTAAAGGGAGCTTTTAGGACTTAAGTTAAAAGTCTGATTGTAAATATTTAACTTTGAAAACTTTATAGAATTAAATTAAAGCTCTAACAGCCGTTAAAGCCAAAACAACAATTGGACATTCGGACCCATAGTGATCTGAATGAGACAATCAAACGCTGAAACTACTTGGAGTCGTCCAAATTGGCACATGAGTGAAATATATTAAGTTCTACACAATCCGAGCTAGAAGATCAGCATGCAAACTGAAACTACTTGTAATAAAACTAAGGATCCTAATCGAAAAATGACTCGGAATGAAGTTGAAGAGCTTTGACAAATTTCAAAATGATATATATTTTGGAAGTACAGAAAAAAAGTTTTTTTTTTTTTTCCAAAAGTTAGCGTATGCAAGTCTGTCGTAAGGGATTACAAATCGACATTTCACCAGTCACGATTTAAAAGTTTCAGTGTTGTACATAAATACATTAACTTGGACAGATATTCACAAAGCAAACTTTAAAACATTCTTTATGTATAAGGTAATAAACATCTCTTTCGCTTTAGGTGGAATGGTAGCTCACGGACATCAACTTGGATTATAACTCATTCCGTCGAGTACAATGTCACAAGAATACAAGATTAATCAAACACGCTTAGAAAAGTTAGAAAGATTAAATAAGCAAACGTTAAAGTACGTAGTAATTAAGAAATTAAATCACACAAAAGGTCACGAGTTTCGGAATACTTTTGGTTTTGGATGTATTTATTAAAGAAGGAAAACTTCACCTAATGAAACTCATAAGCGAAGTTGTTTAACTAGAAATCAAACTTGTCCATTTCCGAACATGTTCTTGTCAGATATCAGATAATATTCGATTTTGTAGTTTAGATATGTTAGCAATATGAATATCCAAGGAAATATTTCTATAATTGTGTAACAGTTTCGACTATCTATGTTGACATATAATTACAATGGAATGTTAAAGAGGAAACACTATCACTTTTGAGTTTTCTGTTCAGATTTATACAAGTTACATACCTATATATATGTTAAAATAATTATATGTTTGGGTAATTCAATATATCCAAACGTACGGTATGAAAATGGGTTAGGTGATATAATTTAAAATATCCCAAAGTTTTCAAATCATTTGGAATACATATAGTAATAAATTTAAACTACTACCTAAATTAATGAAAATTCAATTTTTTTCTTCTATATACTATATACCATGTAAAAATATTCCACTCTTAACAAATCTAAGCTGTTTTAATTAAGTGTACGTTTCATTTGACCAAACGATGTAGTTACATATTTGTTGACAGTGTGATCCAATGCATAAGTCAAAATTGGACAAAAGAGAGGTTACATTTATTGTCACTGTGGACCCAATATTCACAAAATTATTTAGCAAATTGTTTCAGAATACAATGTCTTTTGCCTTAATCAATCTTTATGAAACAATTAACTAAAGTACTTAATAAGTATTTTCATATGCACTAGAATATAATATTTTATTTCAAAGTCTACATTACAAAGACAGGATTTGTGTATGAACAGGGGAAACATAACTTGTAAACCCGTAGTTCTTGAGAAAGACGTAGAAAGATGCGTATATAAACACACACACACACACATGCCTTTATCTTCTCTGCTTAACATTTGTTATTAATAAGTAATTTGCTAAAGCCCTTCCAAAATGTCACGTCCCTTTTTCATTTTCTTGCTAATGTCTCTTTTCCTCTACAATAGTTGCACTGCACACCGCTACACATTCACGGTGAGTTACTAAAATTACCCGATCAGTTCAACAGCACGTGAGTAATCTGACTTGGATTGAATCGATGAAAAAGTATTTAACCTCATAAATTAATGGCAGGTTAAGGAAGTTCCATATAAGAAACTGTGTAGCACGAAGAAGATCTTGACCGTTAATGGTAAGTTTCCTGGACAAACTTTAAAGGTTTACAAAGGAGACACCATTTACGTCAACGTTCGTAACCGAGCTAGTGAAAATATTACCATGCATTGGTAAATCTCTAACCCCTTCTTCTTCTTCTTTTTTAAAATTGTCAACAATCTTTTTTTCCTATAACGATTTTTTGGTGGTTGATTAAACATTATATAGGCATGGTGTAGAGCAGCCGAGAAACCCATGGTCAGATGGACCAGAATACATCACACAATGCCCGATTCGACCTGGTTCGGATTTTCTGTATGAAGTCATATTTTCCATCGAAGACACGACTGTTTGGTGGCATGCTCATAGCTCTTGGACTCGTGCCACTGTACACGGTCTTATTTTTGTGTATCCTCGGCTCCCTAAATCCCTCCCTTTCCCAAAATCGGACCACGAAGTCCCCTTAATTCTTGGTACAAAACAAATCATATATATTCTTTTGCGTTTTATTGTCTTAAAATTAAATTTATAAAATTGCTTAGGGGAGTGGTGGAAGAGGAATGTGACAGAAGTAGTGGAACTATTCAGAAGGACAGGAGGTGACCCTAATGTGTCCGATGCTTTGACCATTAATGGACATCCTGGTTTCTTGTATCCTTGCTCTAAATCAGGTTTCTTATTTTTAACCTTTTGCCTTTCTCCTTAATGAGTACTTTCATTTTTTTTTTGGTTTTAATTACAATCGTGGGATAAAAACTTTATATGGAGATGAAAGACATGTAAGGGTCAAGAGCACGATTATGAAATACAATTTGTTGAAAGAATACCGTGATATATTAAATTGAGAAGATAAGTAAAATGATTGAAATGAGAAAATTGTTTTAGTAAGTCAACAATGTTTTTTAAAACTCCTCTGTTTTGTTTATAGAAACCTAATGAAAGTGTTTGATCAAAAACATTTTATTACAAAATTTGATTGTCCAAAATATGTTATCTTAAAACGTGATACAAAATTTGATTAAAAAGGCATATAATTCAAGTAATTAATCCTAAATTAATTAGTTGTTATTATTTAGTTTAAACATAAAACTTTTTAGAGACACTCGCATGTCCATTTTGTTAAGAAAATCTACTTTACTTTTTTTTGGATCAAATCTACTTTAGTTTTATATGTGAAAACAGAATATATGGCATTAGTTAAGTTTGCATGCAGGGCAAAAGACTGACATTTTTATATAATTTAAATACAGTTCAAAATATACTAATAAAATGTTACAATTAGTTAGATAGGTTAGTTAATTGGGATTTGATCAGATAATTAATTGTATTTCATTATGTTGGTTGCCACTCGTTAGAAACTCTGAGTCCCTGACTGATTGAAACATAGTAAGGCACATATCAATTCAACACCTTAATTCAACAGAACAGTTGTGTCTCTATTTTTTTTTTTATGTTAATTGTTTGTATATTTGAAAAATGCAATTTGCATGCATACGTATTTTCAAAGTTAAATCTGATAAAAAAAAAAAAAGTTAAATCTGATTAAATAAATTCCGTTTCTGATCCATGCATATATCTAAATGCTGGTAAACAGATACATACGAGCTCACAGTAAAGAAAGGCAAATCCTATCGCATTCGGATGGTAAACGCCGCGATGAACCTAATCCTCTTCTTCGCAATCGCAAAACACAGCCTCACCGTGGTTGCCGCCGATGGCCACTACACCAAACCACTAAACGCTACTTACATCGCCATATCACCAGGCCAAACGCTAGACTTGTTATTACACGCCGACCAAAACCCAAAACGCACTTATTACATGGCCGCCAGAGCTTACCATAGCAACCCCGTCATCAACTTCAACAACTCCACAACGATAGGGATCTTACGTTACACCTCTTCAACGTCATCGTCTTCAAAACGTTACCCAAACCTTCCTTATTACAATGACACGTCAGCAGCATTCGCATTCTTCACCAACATCACAAGCTTATACTCCGGACAAGTTCCCGTCACGATCTCACGTAGGATCATCTCAACGGTTTCAATAAATCTTCTCACGTGTCCTAACGACTCTTGCGAAGGTCCAAACGGGTCGAGACTAGCGGCGAGTATGAACAACATATCGTTCGTGACACCTAGTCACGTGGACATACTAAAAGCATACTATTATCACATCAAGGGCGTTTACGGAACGCGGTTTCCAGCGTTTCCACCGCTGGTTTTCAACTTTACCGCGGAGGATCAACCGTTGTTTTTGCAGACTCCTAGACTTGCTACAGAAGTGAAGGTGATTAAGTACGGCGAATCTCTTGAGATTGTTCTCCAAGGGACGAGTTTAGTTGGTGGTGGAATCGATCATCCCATGCATCTTCATGGTTTTAGCTTCTATGTGGTTGGTGTTGGGTTTGGTAACTTTAATGTAACTGAAGATCCGTTGAACTATAATCTCAAAGATCCTCCGTACAGAAATACAGTGACTGTGCCTAGAAACGGTTGGGTCGCTATCAGATTCATAGCTGACAATCCTGGTACGTAACTTACATAATTTCATATAAACCATAAGCCACGATTTTGAGGATTATAGATAGTTTAGTTAAAAATTACATAAGGTCTTGTTTTAACGATTTAATTTTTTATGTTTAGGTATATTACCTCTTAAAATTTTGAAGTTCGACCAATGATTATACTTGGATATGTGCAGGGCCGGTTCTTGTTATAAACCTTGATTAATGTTATATTAGTGGCTCCTTCATTATATTTTACAATTGTGTTTGTAATTTTGCGTTTGTAGGGGTTTGGTTCATGCATTGTCACTTTGATAGACATCTCTCATGGGGTATGAATGTTGTCTTCATTGTCAAGAATGGAAGAGGACTTAATCAGCAGATTCTGCCTCCACCTCCTGACTTACCGCCTTGTTACTAATAATATATAATTCAAATATGTAAAATCATTATCATGTTTTGCTTTGACCAAAAAGAATATTTTATGTTGTAATTTATTGATGTAATAAACTAAATTTTCTCGAATATAAAAAGAATATAATTCAAATATGTAAAAAAAATCATGATTTGCTTGAGGAAAAATAATATTTTATGTTGTAATTTATTGATGTAATAAACTAAATTTACTCGAATATAATCTAAAGGTTTTTTTTTCCTGTGTGAATCACAAGTTGAAATAAAAAAAAAGAAAAAAAAAATCACAAGTTGATCAAGAAGCAGAAGACACAATTAACTGCTTTCAGGCTTTTTGATGGGCCATTGGGCCCATTTAATGGTAATACTCCGGGTCGGGTTGACCCATATTGTGTGGGCGAACAAACAGAAACTGCGTCTTCTACACAGTTCCGAAACCTCATCAAAAACAGGGTTTTACTAGGGTTTTAGGTTGGCTGTTCTGTCTGAATCTCCCCTAAACCCTTAATTTTTCCCAAATCCCAATCACTAAATCTCCATTGAATTCGATCAAAATATATAAAAATCGAATCTTTAACGCCTATAGAAGAATGATCCCTACGAATGGCGCAAAGATTTTTCGCGTGTTGACTCGTCGATGTCTCTCCTCAACGCTTCTCCAAGATCTTACCAATCAAGTAGACTCTTCTCTCTTACTCTCTCGCTCTCTCTCTCGCTCTTTTTCTATCTCTCACATTCTTAATTCATGAGAATCTGCAGAGACTCAAGGGAGTAGCTATTGGGAGTTATAGAAGATTGAATACTGCTACTTCAAACCCTGCCAAGTTTCTTGGAGATTACGCTTCTAAATCTGGTAAATGTATTTTTTTTTTAATTGCTTTGTGTATGTGTGTTCAAATTGAGTTTTGTCGGAAAAGTTAACATTATATGTTTCTTGTAATGAAGGGGATGGTCGGAAATGGATTAATTTTGGAGGTTTTAATTCTAATTTTGGTTCAACAAGGTCTATTCATGGAACAGGTTAGCCTCTGAGATTCCTTGTTTTTCTGACTATTGTTTTGTAATTGAATCTCTTAGTAATATGTTTTTCTGAATAATCAGGTTCTTCATTTATGTCGGCTAAGGATTACTATGAAGTTCTTGGAGTGAGCAAGAATGCACCAGAAGGTGAAATCAAGAAGGCTTATTATGGGGTAGGAAGGGGAGACTATATGGTTGAGATTGTTTCATTTGTTGGGTCTCTGCTAGTTTCTCATTGGTTGATGCTATTTTTTTTAATTCCAGCTTGCTAAGAAACTCCATCCTGATATGAATAAAGATGACCCAGAAGCTGAGAAGAAGTTCCAAGAGGTCTCAAAAGCATATGAAGTGAGTTTTGTCTCCACTTCTTGGATGAAACTGTTTGATATGATCTGTTAGAATCTGACACTGAAAGGAACTGTTTTTTTTTTTGGGATTAGATTTTGAAAGATAAGGAGAAGCGTGACCTATATGACCAGGTACATAGGCCTTACTATTTTATTTTAATTTCGTTATTACAAGCTGTAATGTTTGTGCAGATGTGATCTAAGTTTGTTGTAATGTTTGCAGGTTGGGCATGAAGCATTTGAGCAAAATGCTAGTGGTGGTGGGTATCCAAATGATGGAGGTTTCGGTGAAGGGTTTAACCCATTTGATATCTTCGATGTAATGCTTTGATACCTTAGTTTATATTTTTCTTAAAAATGCAAATGGTTAACTTATCAACATCCATTGTTTTACACGTTATTTCCTTGTAAAATTATCAGATCTTCAGCAGGAACAAGCAAGAATTCGGAGGTCAAGACGTCAAGGTAATAAGATCTACTTTGTTTACTCTAAGATAACTCTTATGCTCCAAAATGCAAATGATTTCTGTACTGTTGAAAGGTTTTGCTTGAGCTTTCTTTCATGGAAGCTGTTCAAGGATGCTCCAAAACTGTGACTTTTCAAACTGAGTTGTCTTGTAATACTTGTGGTATGTATATATATTTCTTACTATCAAAGTGTTTTATATGTTGTTATCAATCTTTAAGTTAATGTTTGTTGTTTTTGTTCTTTCTCTGATATTTAGGTGGACAAGGTGTTCCTCCTGGTACCAAACGTGAAAGATGCAAAGCCTGTGATGGCTCTGGGATGGTCAGTGTCATGTTACAGAACTCTAGTTTTGCTACTGTAATTATGAATTTTTTTTTTTCTTAAAATGGTTTTAAGGTGAGACAGTTACTTTTTTTCAGAAAACTATGACAAGGGGTTTATTAAGCATCCAACGAACATGCGAGAAGTGTGGTGGAGCTGGTCAAACTTTCTCAGTATGTCATACAACACTTTATATATCACATGCATAGTGTTTATCGGTGTGTATATATGTCATACTGCACTTTATATAATAGACACTATTTTCTATTAGATTCATCCCAAATGTTTGGTCCTTTAAGTAGGTTTCTCTAACGATTGGATTGCTTTGTTTTGGGGTTTTGCTAGAGTATTTGCAAATCCTGTAGAGGAGGTAGAGTTGTTCGAGGACAGAAGTCAGTGAAAGTCAATGTTGATCCAGGTATTATCCATAAGGAATAGAAAAACAATGTTTAAGAAATCGTTAGGCGGCATTTAGGCCCTTTAACCTCTTGAGTTGTAACACATTTTTGAAACCTTTCAGGGGTTGACAATAGCGACACGTTAAAGGTGTCGAGGTCTGGTGGGGCTGATCCTGATGGTGACCAACCTGGAGATCTATATGTTATTTTTAAGGTGACTTTACTGAGTTACAACTTACTAGTGGACAAGACATAGTTAATAATGTTATTTGCATTCTCAATATCTCAGCTGTATTCCTTTTCAGGTTCGTGAAGATCCTGTGTTCCGCAGAGAGGGATCAGATATTCATGTGAATTCAGTTCTCAGTGTTACTCAGGTGAATATACATCTCTTATCAATCTTGTCTCTAAAAGTTCATAGGTGCCATTTTATGATAACCAAGTATATTCTTCATATTTTCAGGCTATTCTTGGAGGAACTATTCAAGTTCCAACTCTCACCGGTGATGTTGTAGTGAAGGTCTCTCTGAATACTATAACAACTAGCTAATTACAGTCTCAGCTGTCTTTTTCCCAATTGGTTTAGTTTAAGACTGCTCTTGAAACTGCCTTATCAATCTAAATTTGGAAACTCTCTTGGTGCAGGTCCGTCCTGGAACGCAACCTGGTCAGAAGGTAGTGCTAAGAAAAAAAGGTGAGCTTCTTTTTTTGCTTGTGTCTGTTATAGAACACTTGAAACTGTGAGTGTGATCTTCTCTCTTTGCTCACTTATCAAATGACATACGATACAAAACAGGTATTAGAGCAAGAAAGTCAACTAAATTTGGGGATCAATACGTTCATTTCAACGTCAGCATCCCTGCGTAAGTCCCCATTAAAGCCCCAAGTAAAACTGTGTAGTTTTTCATGTGTTGACTCATGTTTTGTTTATGTACATTGGCAGAAATATAACGCAGAGACAACGTGAACTGCTTGAGGAGTTCACTAAAGAAGAACAAGGCGACTATGAGAAGCGTGCTGCTTCTGGATCTTCCTAGGTGAAAGAGTTTTGTTTTGTGGCATTAGCAAACCTTGGATTATTTTCTTAATCGCTATACCAGTCAGACAATGAATGATGAGATCATATTGCGTTAGGATTAGTCAAAGAGTTTTGTTTTTGTTTTTTGTTTTTTTTTTTAACTAATTCTATAGAAAATGGCAAATTTGATTATGGAACCATTTTCAGTATTACTTTGTAAAACAAGATTTTGTATGAACCATTTTCTCTGTGGATACAATAAACATGGAGGGTCAAACACATCAAATCTGTTGTGTCTCCGGCCATATCACACGAACATTAAAAGAAGGTGGCTTCATAACTTTGCTGTTCAACGACTTTCAGTAATGATTCTATGGTTAAATCATCAACAACCTTTTGCTTTAGGTTCTGTCTCTTCTCCAAAACTCCAGGAACAAGGATCTTAGTTCCTTGAGTCTCAAATTTGTTTTCATGGATCTATCATATCATAGAACAATTGTTCTCATGAAGTATCTGCTAAATGTAAAGGCCTTGACAAGCAAGCCGCAAAATGTCTACTAATTTATCCAACTTATGAATCAGTTCTTTGTTGTTAATGAACTCAACATGTAATTCAATACAATACTCACTCCGTTTTATTTTAGTTATCGCTTTAGATTTTCACACACAAATTAAAAAAAAATATTTAAGTTTACATATTCTCTAGACAAAACATAATTACATATATACCTAATCACATTTTAACCAATACAAAAATATAATATCAGATAAAATCAATAAATTTTGTATTGAAATTATAAAACGACACTTATTTTGAAACAATTTTTTTTCTTTACAACGACATATAAATTGAAACGGAGATAATATGTTTTTATCATTAAATTCTTTGAGGTTAGACACATGAGTCATGTACTCATGCTAAACTGATACTAGACCAGTTTAGAATCTTTAGTCTTTGTTGGAGTTGGAGCAAGAGTGAAGACATGATTGGTGAACTTATTATATACTATTTCTCTACTGGCTAGACTTCTATCCCAAGCAGAGAAAATAGTAAAGAGTGATGGGATGCGGCCAATGTTTAAATGGGCCCAGGCCTATCAGGCCCAATCTTTTATCGCACACAGACATATATATACTCCTCAAAGATTGTTCGTTCCAGCGTAGCCGCATTTTAGAGTTTATTTCTCTTGCATCCTCCATCTAGGGTTTTCACCAAAGCCGTCCTCGTCTCATTTCCTCAAGCAAAACAACCATGGTGAAATCTCCTTACCTTGTTTCTCCATCTTCTTACTCTCTTTCTCTTCCTCTTGATTTTTCTGAGTTTTGATTTTTGGATGTGTGTGGCTGTCTCAGGTTCTCCAAAACGACATCGATCTGCTCAACCCTCCAGCTGAGCTCGAGAAGAGAAAGCACAAGCTCAAGCGTCTCGTGCAGACTCCTAACTCCTTCTTCATGGTACTTTCTTTCTCCTCCCTTCGAAATCATTAAGACACAATTAAAAGCATCGATAACAATAAGTCTAATGTTCTGTTTTAATGTTTGTGGTGCCAGGATGTTAAGTGCCAGGGATGCTTTAACATGTGAGTTTCTCTTATTATTTACTTTAAATGTTTTAACATAGATTGTTATAATTAGGAATAATCTGTCTAGTGTTTTGTAATTAAAAAACTGTTGGGTTTTGTTACATTATTACTTTTTATTACAGTGTTTGATTATGTTTTAGGAAGTTACTAGTGATGTGAATTGTTTTGTGGTGTTATTATGATTTTGCAGAACGACAGTGTTTAGCCACTCGCAAACTGTTGTAGTGTGTGGAAACTGTCAGACGGTACTGTGCCAGCCCACTGGTGGTAAAGCCAGGCTCACGGAGGGATGCTCTTTCAGGAAGAAGTGAGAAACTGAGATTCTCACATAAAAATCATCTTTTTTAAAAATGTTGCTGTGAGAGAGAAATCAGATCTTTTTTCAGTTTGTGTTTCTTGCTTAGTACTGTTTATTGTCTTAAAGACCTTTTTTTTTGCTTACGAGAAGATTTTGAAAGCATTATCAAATTATTGTTGGGTTTTAATCAATCCTCTAGCTTTAATTTAGCTATAAATCTTTCTCAAATCGCATTAGCTGGCTGGTTTCTTGTTCATTGTCTACATGCTATGTGGTTTTTTCATTAGCTGAAGCTGAATAAACACTCAACACACATGGTTTTATGTTGAAGGAAGCTTTCTAATTCTATATGCACTTATTGAATGTTGCTCCCATATTTGTAGTTAAGTTGAGGAGGCCCTGTGAATGATTGTAGCACATGTGAAATTCTTATTTTTGTTGAATTGGAATCAGAATTTGTGCTTAGAAATGCTCTAATGACATCTATTCAGCAAGCTCAGCTTCCTTTTTCGGAGTTGCCAAGAGTAATGGGCCTTTGGCCTGTTATCTCTTTAATCCCAAGATTATAAAACATGTCAATTATTATTTTACAATATGCGAACCGTGACCTTGAGACCCTTGTCCGAAAGAAAATTGCAAAATACCTTAGTTGTAATATCTGACGTGACATTTTACTTACTCAGAAGAATCTAGTTTTGTGAAATGTTCTTATCGGTTTAACTGTTAAACTTTAACATACTACTGAAAAATGTTGTATTAATCAACTCGTTGAAGTCATGAGAATTTTTTCATATTTTCTGCCACGACTGCTCGGTAAACTATAGTACACTTGGTATATTGGTTTACATCACATGCTATTTCTTTTCTTTCTTTTTTTGAGAAATGTTACATTTGATTTTGAGTTTTTTTTTGTACGCTTGAAAATCAGGCTTTTTTTTTTTGACAACAAGATCTTATATTAAAATTAAAAGTCCAATGGATTAACTAGGTTACAGACAGAAAGATAATCGCCACTCGACTCATAAGTTAACATAGCTAAAACATAATAAAAGATAGAGGTAGCCAAAGAGAGAAGAAACCCATAGAATATCTTCACTTGTAATCCTAAAACCCGTGTTCGAAAGAACACAAAAAAAGTCAAAACGATGTTGAAGAATCCAGTTAATGAGTTTTGAGAGCAGTTAAAAACCATCTTTGAAAATGTCAGGATCTTTGACATTGCAGTGAGGTACATGAAGACTGCCGGAGTAGGACTACACAAAGAGTCGTCGACCGACGGTATAGCCTTCAAAGGATAGCAATTGGTAGAGTCAGGAGATACCAATTGCTATCAGGCTAAAAGATCAGTTTTGGGTATTACCTTATTCCTTTTTATCTAAAATTTTATTTCGGATATCCACTAAACATCTTACTGAGTGTGCGATATTTGGAATCACATACTTTAACTAATGTTTGATACACGACAAGACAAAGTATAATGTCTAAAATCTAAAAATATCCAGAAGACTAGAGCAAGTATCAAAGTGTGGTTACGAGTGAAAGAGAATCTTATAAAGCTATAATTGAGCAAAAATTTCGCGGCGCCATGAAATGTGAGACCAAAGTGCGTAAACACTTTACAATTATACAAGACCATCACATGCAATCAGTTTCCATCTCTTCTTCTTCAATTTTCCTTTAGAGAAGTAAGAATAACTTTAAAAAGAAACAAAAAAACAAAAAAAGAGTAAAGTGATTGTAAAAGCTAGGACTTTAAGAGAAGTACAACGAATTTACGTCGCCGCTGGATAACTTAAGCTGTCTGTAATTTTACCCAAGCATCTTCCCTATTCTCATACTTTTTGCACAAATTTATGAACGTTCTTTTAGGTAAGCAATAACACTTTTGTTTCGATGATTTGGTTGTCATGTTGCTGTCGTAGTTAAAATTAATCACATTTAATAGCACGAGTAGTGGTTATTCAATCAAGTCTTGAATAGAAACAGAAATCTACGTACTTATTTACTATTTTGTGCAAATAAAATAGTACGAGTAGTGGTTATTCAATCAAGTCTTGAATAGAAACAGAAGTCTACGTACTTATTTACTATTTTGTGCAAATAAACCTAGGAATGTTATCTACCTAATTAACTCTTCAAATATTATAGTAATTTTAGCCGCGCTAATCTTCTTCTCAAGCACTAGACAACCAGCTGAAGATAGCTCCATGGGGTTCTGCACGTTTACTTACACATCATAGTGTTTGTTGCACATCTATTATAAGCGAACATGAACCAAGTTAAGCAAACGTTTCTAGTCGTTTCAAACTTAATGGTAGGTCTCATACTTTATAATATGAAAATAAGATCTATCCGACTCATAGCCAACGTAACCCGTTAGGTCACATTTATACATAAAATTAGTATCTCGAGAATCTTTAACAAAGTAAAAGACATTTTAATTGCATACGTTTGATAGATGTAGGCACGATGCAATTTGATGAAAAGGAACGTGACATAAAGCCATAAAGGTTAAGCAGAAAAGGTAAGTCATCCACTGCATCAAATGGTGTATGTCGACGTGTCAAATTGTGAGAAGATTGCTCCGCCCTTAAGTAAACGATATAGCCATTAATTAAATATTAACAAAACGACAAAACTCGTAAAGCCATGACTCGTTACGTTAGCTTTTGAGTACACTCCTTCCTATATAAACCCCTGAAGGCTCTAACATCCAATGTTCCTTTCCATGCTAGTTAAGCAAGTACATCCTCTTATATATTATTATTCACTTTAGAAGAAACACCATTTAACATTTATTGACTAAAGCTTATACATCTTACAAAGAGAGAAATGAAGAAAGCTACGGCATTGATGAAACATGTCGTTGCCCTGTTGAGCTCTGCTGCAAAGGCAAAATCTATAGCCATAAAGAACAAAACAAGTGCCTTCAAGACAAGACTCCTCATGTTGTCCCTCGTGAAACCCGAGAAGCTCGGGTTCCGTTCAATTTCCAACAAGATTCACAACCTCCTAGGCCATGCAGATCAAGACCACGACCATGAACAAGACAATAGCAAGGCTATAATCCTCTACAACAACGGGGAAGTGGGTCATTGTGAGAGTTATGACGTACAAGAAGAGGAGGAGTGTGACAAG